GCTGGGGATGTGGCTTAGTGGTTGAGTGCTCCAGGGTTCAATCCCCAGTACCCAAAAAAAAAAAAAAAAAAGATAGTGGATTATACAAGGCTGTGAATCATTGCTGATAATTTTAGAGGTATATAGTTTTCAGTTTCTTCTTATTTTTTTGTTGCTAGACATGGAACCCACAAATGCTGAGTCTGTACTCTACCTCTGAGTTACACCCCCAGCCTAATATCTTTATTTTTAAAAAATAATTTATTTATTTATTAAATTTTTTAGTTGTAGATGAACACAACACCTCTATTTTATTTATTTTTATTTGATGCTGAGGATTGAACCCAGTGCCTCACACATGCTGGGCAGGTGTTCTACCACTGAGCTACAACAACAGTCCTCTGTATCTTTTTTATAATGCATGTGGATTACTTTAGCCTTTATTTCTTTATTTTTTGTGTGGTGCTGAGGATTGAACCCAGGGCCTCGCACGTGCTAGGCAAGCGCTCTGCCACTGAGCCACAGCCCCAGACCTGGATTAGATGAAAGATAGAAGTGCTGGTGCATAAAGTCTTTTTTTCTCATGAGTCTCCACTGAAAGGAGGCTGAATGAAACTGTCAGCTAAATCTCTACAATAAAGACAGTCAGAGCTCCCTGGGGCTGTTACTTATGACAGTTGTGGTGCAGGATGCTGGCTTCATGCCAATGTGTAGTGAAAGTAATTCTGAAAGTAGCCAGAAATGAAAGAATGAAAGGGCAGTTTTTGGCAGAGGAATCACAATCTAAAATTCACTCATGGCATTTGTATGATGAGTTGATTTAATCTGGGTGCTACATTTGGATCTTCAATGTCCTCCCAAGGCCCTTATGCTAAAGGCTTAGTCCCTGCGCTAGGGGAGTATGAAGCCGTGGAGTACTTGTCTAGATTTGCGAAGCCCTGGATTTGACCCCAGCACTGCAAAAACAAAACGAAACCAACAACAAAGAAACATACAAAGGCTTAGTCTCCAGCCTGAAGCATTTGGAAAGTAGTGGAACTGTTTAATAGGTAGGGCCTAACGGGAAGTCTTCTGGTCATTAGGAACATGCCTTTGAAGAGGGAAATGGGACCCTCTCATTCCTCCTCTATCTTCTCTTACATCCTGGTCATAAGGTGAATAGCTTTACTCCACTACATTCTCTCTGCCCTAATTTATCAGAAATTGATTACCTATGGTATTTTGTTACAGTAACAGAAAACTGACTAACACACTGGAGTTCATAGACATGCTTTGGATGGGTCTTTCCATGAACCCCCTAAAACATGCAAAATTGTTTATATATATGTACTCCCTTGAGGAGTGAGGTACTTTGATTCCATTGTTTCTGACTTTAAAAGATGGAAGAATTATTGCTCTGTAGCAGGGTTTTTTTTTTTTTAACTTTGGCTTTATTGTCACTTTGATCTGGATAGGTCTTTGTTGTTTGTGTGGAGGTATCATGTGCATTTTAGGTTGTTTAATGGCACATCTAGCTTTTATCTGTAGAAGGCAGGAACACCCAGTTGTGACCATCAAAACAGTCTTTAGACATGGCCAAATGTCACCTATGGGACAGAGATCACCTTTGAGAATCCCTGAGCTTCTGAAGATTGGAGGAACAAAATGTAAATCAGGTGAGCTATGGATTAAACTAGTCCTAGATACAAACTGCGACATAACTATATGTAATTTGGGTAAATTATAATCATAATTTACCCAAATTACAATTTTGGGTAAATGACTTTATTTCAGCCTTATCTAATTTCTTGACATATAAACTGATAATAACCAAAAATCATCCCCTGCTACACCCCCAGCACTAGTGATGGAACTCAGGATCTCACATGTTAGGCAAGCACTCTGTTACTGAGCTAAATCCTAACCTGTTTTGTTTTTATTTTGAGACAAGGTCTAAGTTGCCCAGGCTATCCTCAAACTTTAAATCCTCCTGTCTCATCCTCCACAGCAGTAGCTCAACTAGGTGTGTCAGTAAGGGATTTCTGGGTAACTGGGATTACAGATGTGCACCATCATGCCAATAGGATTTTTAAAGCATGCAGAACACTTCACATTTTTTTTTTTTTTTGTACTAGGGATTGAACTCAAGGGTGCTTAACCACTGAGCCACAGCCTCAGCCCATTTTTTAGTTTATTTTGAGACAGGGTCTTGGTAAGTTGCTCAGGGCCTTGCTAAATTGCTGATGCTGGCTTTGAATCTGTGATTTTCCTGCTTTAGCCTCCGGAGCCGCTGGGATTATAGGCATGCTCCATCATGCCTAGCTACTTCACAGGGTTTTGTATGGTAAGCAATTATATATGATCACTATTAATATTGTCCAGACCACAGCTAAGACTGTAACCATTTCCTCACATCTTTCCCTCATTCATTCCAGAGATATTTATTATGTGGTATCTGTGTGTATCAGATTTTGATGTGCTCAACCTGAATTATTCATGAGAAGGATCACTTGAGCCTAGGAGTTCAAAGGCAGCCTGGGCCGCATAATGAGAGCCTGTCAAAAAAAAAAATATCAACACCCATACATAAAATAAATAAGTAATCCCCACCCCCAAAATTATTCTTCAATCTCTACCTGGTAACTATTATGTATTTTTTTATTCTTTGTAAAGGGAATTTTAAATATCAATGATTTTTCATCATATCTATTTTTATTCTTGGCCCTCCTTTATGAGATCCAGAACCTTCCTGGACGTCCTCCAGGAATTTTAAATTGGGTATGTTTTGCCAATTAGCTCAGCAACTAGCACTTAGTCTTCTATAAAAATGAGTGGTTATACTGGTCACTGATGTTTCTTAGCCCCTGCTGTTTGATCCTTTTTTTTTTTTTTTTTTGCTGCTCCTCAGTGGTTTCTCAAATTCACTTATTTTCGGACAGCCTCCTTAGCCCTGGGTTAAAAGACCTGATTTTTCTTCCCCGTGGGGAGCCCAGAGGAGAATCCAGCCTGGTTCTCCTACCTGCAGGGAAAAATTGAAGGCATGAAAATGAAGACACTCCTACACCAAGTCCATAGTTCCCTGAGCAGTTTGGTGGCAGGAATTTGCTAGTGGTATGAAGGACATAAAATTTTGCAATAGCAGCCTCCATTGGGTGAGCCAGTAAATGATTCCTGGGGTCCTGGCTGGTGCTTCCTGGCACTGCGGGGGTGCAAAGGAGCAAAATTTATGCTATTAGCACAGTTATAACACTGTGTCTGCTGAATATTTCAGAACTGAGGTTCAGGGTATCTTAAAGCTGCAGATAGAAGAATTTAGAAGCCTCAATCAGGGCAGCACAGTGGGTAATATCAGCAGGCTCTGGTGGGGTAGACCTGGGTTTGAACCCTAACTTTGCCTCCTATTCTAGGTGATAGTCTGCAAGAGACTCTATTATGCTGAGCCTCAATTTCTTCATCTATAGAGTAAGGGTGATGCTACCACAACTAACACTTCTGGAGTGTTACTATTCAGTCAGAACACATGCAAGTTGTCTCTGTTCCACCACTAAAAGCTGTTTTAAAATTGAATTAAAGCTGAGTCTAGTGTGTCCAAGGATGTAATCTCAGCTACTCAGGAAACTGAGGCAGAAGGATCACTTGAGCCAAGGAGTTCTGGGTTAGCCTGGAAAAATAGCAAGATTCTATCTAAAAATTAAAAAAAATTTAAAAAAATATAAAAAAGCATACCCTTCTTATTCACGTTATATCTCTTGATGACGTTAAAAAATACACCTGCACATGGTTAAAAACAAATCATAGAGGGTATAACATGAAATACATTTCTTTTTT